TCGCGAATTTGGTACGCTCTCATGCTCATCCTCTCGTTCTCTTTCTCGTTGTATTTGTCAGCATATTTAAATCCCAGGCTGAGCGGTTTTTGACTACAGTGTCTAGTGCCTTGTGGTTTGTGTAGCCCTTACGGCCTACATAAATATAAACTAATTTGGTAGGAGTACTCTGGGAAACGGGGGTTTATTGTGTGAATTTTCGACACTGGCTCACCAGGTCGTCGTTGTCAGATGGATGGGAATCGTACGATACATCCATCTGACGGCGACGACCTGTGAGCCAGTGTCGAAAATTCACACAATAAACCACCGTTGCCAAAGTACTTCTTCTACCGAATTATACTTCTTGGGATGCCGATTTTTCCAGTTCATAAACTAATTTACTTGCAAGGCACCATCTTCGCGCTCACCCACTCTTGAGCTCGTCAGAAATGACGGTCAAACTGTTGTGTCAACTAATCAGGCGGTGTAACAGCTTTTTCATAATCTACAAACAAGGGAGTCTCGGCAAGAATGATCTGAATGGATCAGAGAAAGAAAACGAATCCACTCCGTCTGCCTATCACGTCTCCTTTCTCTGCTCACTCTCCGGGAATCCACTCAACTATTTTGTCTCCAATTATCTGCTCCAACGTTATTACGTTGTTTATTTTTATCACCCTGGTAACAGTTTTACGGAACGCATTGTATGTTTACCCAAAAGTGGATTATGGAAGCGCATTTCTGTACGTTCCCAAAAGAATGTAGCATCAGTTGTGCCGGTCAAGCGTGTTTTTTTTGCAAAGTGCACTTTTATGAAAATTTTGGGGTCGGGTGCTTTTAACCTTTGGTCACATTGTCTCTTCACATGTTCCTGTACATTTTCAGCATTAAAAATATAGTATTCTACCCACATAGTATACTACAAGCCTAGATAGTAGGCTTTAGCTGGGAAGTTTTTCGGGACTAAATATGTTCCCTTTTCTCACTTTCTTGCAGATGTGTACGGTCGTGATATACCGGTTGATCCGATCCGTCTGATGCATGAGACTTATCCAAAACTGGAGATTTCGTAAGTTTCTGCTAGCATAGTAGTACGACCTGTGACCATTTTTGCGACTTGACTACTTCCTTAACCGTTTCAATGAAGCTTTTAAAGGGTTTCTGTCATTAACTTCAGATTATCCGATTATTATTGACAGAACCACTAAACGGGGGGGGTGAGTTTGTTGCACATTCCTTATACCACACTAATGTGAATTTATGAAAGTATCGAACTTGAAGAGGAAACACGTACTTCCACCAAATTGACCGACCAATTATGTTTTACAGAGACTTTAATCTAAAGCCAGCCAGATTGCGTTTCTGTCTGCTTCGTTTACCTGACTCCATCATGAGTTAATCCAGATAGTGTATAATCAACTAGCAGCGCTGTTACCTTAGTATTTATTTGGCAGTGTTTTTAAGCGGTTTGAATCATTTATGGAATTATTTTGAGCCTTTCATCTAGACACGAATCACCCATGTGGAACTTTTCCTTCGACAGGTCCAGCGAGAAAGTGCTGGTTGACGATGAACAGAATGGTGGTCGTGGCGGTGGAAACAGGCGGACGGTCTGTCGCATCCAGGCCACTCACAAAGGACGCACATTAGTGGCCGAGGGTCCGAACCTAAGAGCCGCCAAGTTGGCTATTGCCCACCAACTGGGCGTCTCTTTTGGTTAGCCTGGCCCACCGAATGTGGCTCCTTGACCTCAGCCCACCCGAAACTGAACTCTCCTCCCAGCCTTTGCTCTGCATGACACCTTTTTTTATCTGCTCGCCTCTACCCCCCCCTCCCGCCGCCATCCGCTTCAGTCCCTGCCTTCCCTACCCGGTCTTGCTGCTTTTTCAGTTTCGCGAAGACGCGTACTTCTCGCCGCTATTGACCCTTCTTTTCCACCAGATTCCCTACTATCCTTTTTTTAATCATATAACCGAGGTTACTTATGATTTTAAACTATTTCCTGGTTCGTTAGAAAAAGTTGTTGCCATTGCATGAGGACCTTCTGATTGGGAGCAAATGGGGGATAGCCACAGTAAGTGGGACGTTATTCGGAGAGGGGGGGGGTTGCAGTCTGTGACCTCGGATGGCCAAGTTCGCCCTGATAATCATTGTAGCCCACAGAGGCGTGCGTTCGTGGGATGTCCTGGCAGAGGTCACATCATATACATACCAGCTAGCCACGTGGTAAACGTTGACGTCCTGCGAATTCGATAAAGGTTATCGTATGCACTGTAGCTTACCGCCAAGAGGTTTTAGCAAGTATGATTACTAGAACTAGCACTCTTGGCACTGGCATAGTACTACTAACAGTAGTATCCTAGCCTTAGTAGTCTAAACTTAGTAGAAGCCGACACAGCTGATCTTCGATGTGCTACCCCTTAACAGGCTAACACTGGTTCTCGTAACTGTCTGTGCCCGATTCTCTAACTGCCATCCGCACATTATCAAGCTCGGCCGTGACCACGTGGGACGCCGTTCGAACCTTGGATGAGAGGAAAGGTACTCTGGGCTCAGAAGGATGAGAGGAAAAATGGAGACTGAGAACTTGAGATATTAATAAATAACCCTTCAGCTAAATTTCGCCTGGTATATGCTTCATCTGCACACTAGGTCCCGAGTTAATACACGCACGTGCAAGGATGGATGATACCCACTGAAGGTGGCGATGGAATCATCATACACTGGCAGCTGATTCAGAGCACCCGGGATCCGCTATCAGCACTTGCACTATCAGTATTGTCGTACTACTCTATACTATTAGTAATCCAGTCTTAAGATTCTCCATAAATAGTCATCAATAAGCATACCTTACTACTCTCTGTGGAGGGAACCACAGCAGACGCGTCTTCGAACCGCGTTCCCACCCGCCCTCC